ACCCCTTCCGAAATGTCTGCGCCCATTGCAAGGCTCAGATTCCTAACCAGCAAATCACCCCGTCCCCCAAAGAGACCCCCAAAGAGACTTTTTGGATCCACAAAGTCGAGATCCTGCTTCTACACAACTAAACGGAGCGGCTCTTGTTTACTGCAGTGGGAACAAAATCAAAGACACAGAAACAACCGTGCTGTTTCAAGAGTAAAAGTTTTCCTCTTTATGCCACCTTCCATCCCAACACAGTTTGCAGCATTATTAAATTAAATAATGCAATTAAATAAAGTGAATATATACATATAGTTTCTACTTTGTCCGATCAGTAATTTAAAAAAATATATAGAACAACGGAGATTGGAACTGAATCTTAACCCCCTGTTGCAATTTCTGGAGTCCTCTATTTGTTTACTCCTTGAAACTTTTGCTCCTTAAAACAAACTGTAATCTTCTTGCTTAAAATCACACTTCTGTCTATATTTTATACCATAGCTTATTCCCATAGCGGGGGATAACCTCTCGTTTCCTCAAAGCTTTTAAAAACTTCCTTAATGAAAAAAGTAGAGAAATCTGCTGTTTGCAAATTCTATTTACTTATAGCTTACTTCCAAACTAAAGTAGTTAATTTAATGAAGGGGCAAAAAAAAAAAAAAAGTGAAAAAGATTAATGTGGTGCCCGTAGCCATTTCCCAAATTCTTCAGAGTTTATAGACCTAGGGAGACAGGGAAAGAGCAACTTCTCAGCAGTGTAGCAGAATAAGCTGAAATGACCCTGTGCAACCCAAGTGATTCTGGGAATTAAGGGATGTTCACTCCTGTTATGGTTCTATGCTGCAAACAGCTTTTAGGGCTCCCAGTAGTACCCATTAGCAATAGCCGAGCTTTTCTGTTTTAATTTAATTTAATTTAATTTCCACCAACAAATTCCACCCTGTGGTGAGAATTGACAGTATCATGTTGAGAACCATTAAAGCATATTTGGATTGTTTTTACTCCGCGTATATGTAAAAAAAAAAATAAAATAAAATTCCCCCACCCTTCTTAGTTTTCTTTAGACGAGCCACTTCATAATAAGAGTGAGGCAGACACAATGGAGGCATCATTAGACTGTGGGATACCACCATGGGGAGCGTGGCTGGAGATAGAGCAGAACATGCCTTGGCATCGCACTGCCAGCGTGGCCCCGTCCCAGCTCCGCTCTGAACCTCCCCATGATAAACCAGAAGGGAGCCTGGCAGTGCTGGTGGTGTCCCTCCAGTTACCACCGGGACAGAGCTGGTGTCCTCCTTCTGCAAGAGGACCCCATATATCACTGGTGCTTCCTTTTCTCCTTGAACGTTTTCTGTTCTCTAAGGAAGGACATCTTCACGCTTGAAACATCTCCGTGCTTATGTAGCCTTGGGCTCTACTGGGAATTCCTATTGGGAATTCCCCCACTGGGAATTCTGCCACCAGATTTCAAAGGAAAGAGAATAATAATACTCTTCATTAATATAGGCTTTTCTGTCATGACTTTTTAGGCCCCTATCCAGGCGAGCAGGCGAGCACATGTTTAACATTAAACACATGAGTAGTCTCTATTCACATGCTGCAAGCTAGAAATGCTCATTAGCGCTGGATCACGGCCCCAGCTGAGCTGCTAACACACACTTCAGCCAGAGAGCCGGGCTGCAGAGAAGGTGCCACCCAAACCTTTCATCGTGGTTGCCCCATGGCTGGCTGAGCAGCTCAGTTTCCCACCCCGGGAGACGGGTCGTCCGTTTGGCAGCCGAGCCACGACCTGCTGAGCTGCCACAATGTCATCCTTCAGAGCTGGTGAGCTGATGAGCCACAGCTCAAAACACACCACATTCAAGCACAGCAGCCCTGGGACTCTTTTTCAGCTTTAGTATCTCTCCAATAAATGGTGAAAGGGGAGTAATTTGGGACAACGGGGGGAATAACACGGTGGCTGCGGTCTGCAGAATCCTGTAACGCTGCGTGGTGAGTGCCTGAGGAGGTGCTTGGGCTCTTCTGACCTTTAGGTCAAACATTAAAAGACAGACTGATCAAGCTTTGAAAACCAGCATTGGATGGGGTGTCTGTGCTTTCCTAGGGCTGGTGTGATGTTGGGGATGTGGGGCAAGGAAATAAATCAGATTAATGCTTTCTACTTTCCCTGCACATGAGTTGAAAGGGGAGAGAAGGAAACAGGACTTTCACTGCCTAGCACTGAGCTGGTGGGCTCTCATAGTTGAGGGCAAATACAGCCCAGCAGATCCCTCCTGACCAAGGAAATGGGAAATTTTCTATCCCAGAGGGAACATCTCTACATATCCTGGGGAAATCCCCAGGCAAAGCCACCTTAAATGTGGTGGCTTGCTCAGGTCTGTGTTCTGAAAAATCACGATCCAGACTAAACAGTCTATCACTCTTGGTTAAAGTATCCCAGATGAAAAGACACATTTTTTTAGAAATGCTTTTAATATTGTTTTCTCCAAGAAAAATCATTACCTCCTTCAACTTCTCAACAAGTATGAGCCTCACAGCTTTCCTGCCTCCTCTGGAATTGCTAGGTCATTGAAGACATCAAAATTAATGAAGAGATGAAAGATTCAGCAGAAAGGCAAAAATCTTACTGGAAATATATTTCTTAATATCAAAAACAATTCAAGAAGAATGAGTATATCTAGCAGAACAATAAACAAGTGCAAACTTCCTGGTGCTTAAAAGAATACACATGAAGGAGGACACAAGACCTCGGGGTTATTCTTTTCTTTAAAACATCAATTCATTTTAAAAAGTGAATGTTTCCATGTGTTTCTGGGGCTTTACGTAAGTGGGTTTTCCACTGCTTAAATTTTTGCAATACCTTAAACTCGGCTAATTAGCCAAACTTAGTCAATGTAGAAAGGCAGCTCTCTTTGCTTCATCCTACCAGATGGATGGGTTACTCTAGAAGGTGCTTCCCTGTGTGCCCGTCCATGAGCACCCTCCTACTTAGCACCAAGGAAACAGCAGAATAGGTACAGCTAACTCAGAGTTGACTTTGAGCAGGGATGAGAGAGGAAGAAAGATGACTCGGGGTTAAAATAAAATAAATACATATTCAAAATAAATACTACGTGCAATTCAGCTGAACTTTCCTGTAGGAAACAAGGATTTCTAGCTTCTCTGTGATATAGGCTGTCATTCCTCCATGGCAGTGACATGTCACCTGATGCAAACATAGAAGCAGCACTGGTGACCTGTAGCTCTATGTTCCACATCAGTCCTGATAAAGCAATATCATTGTGTGATTCCTTCTATTGGAAAAAAAAATGTTTCTCAGAAGGTCTTTTAAATAGTCTTCAAACAGATACTTCCTTAGTCCTACCTGCGCAGCAAGACGACCTCTTGGCAATTCAAAAAGTCTAACAGAAAATAAGAATAACTAATATATGGGATCCTCTAGCACTCCCATACCTCTGCTAATAGAAGAAAAGTCAATATTAGTTCCAATATGAATGGAGTGTTGGATTGACTGAACAGGGAGCTTTGAAATAAATATCTAAGAAATGTTTGGATGAAATGGACATCTTTACAGACATTTGGTCTGCATTTCTGAAATGTAGATGATTAAATCCACATTGTTGGCTTCTTCCCCCCTCTGCACTATGTCTTTCTTTACATCTTGCAAAAAATTTATGAACAAAGTTATTGTAAATCTGCAATGTCTGTCTTGTCACTTAGATTCTTTTCAGAAATGCTGCCTTGCCAATGTAGATATACAATCCTGTATGATTAATATTTATTACTTATAATTCTAAATACAATGGAAGGTCATCAAAAATACCCTGCCTAAAGGAGTCTGGAGCCCTTTAAAATCTCACTGGTGATGGATCCTGAGTCTTGAGAACTGAGCTCAAAATCTTAGCAAAACACTTTTCTACCTAGGATTTCCAGTATTTCCTGCTTCTGACTATGGCTAAAGCCAGAAAGCACAAAGGTGAGTGAAAGTTACAGATCTGAAAACATGAGCTTGGATTTCAAACCCAAACAAAGGTCAGGGAATGCCTGAACCTGTCCATAATCATGGATCAGCCCATAATAGCTGTGAGTAAGCTGCAAAGTTAGGATGCAGAGCGAGATTTGAATTCACACAGAACAGGCACAATAAATGAAAACTATTTAATATTCCACATATTCTTTCTCATATCCATCAATACATTATATTTATAATTTTGGGGGTTATCAGAAAAATGAAAATATTTAAGGATTTTTTTATTATTAATTAAAAGGAAGGCAGCTTGGAGATCTTCAGGTTTCATAATGAAATCCTAAAAACATTTTAAGAACATGAAAATCTTCTTACAAAAAGCTCATTTTCTTTTGGTGTAGGCCCAACCATTTTTAAACTTTTTTTTTTTTAAAACAGATGTAATTTGAAGTTGCTGAGATCAACTGTGTTTTGACCCTCTTCTAACAAAACCAAAGTAAGACAAAGCAGAACATTCCATGGGATTCAGCAAATTGGTGAAGATTCACGGAGACAGAAGAAATCAGGAAAGACCCTGAACTGCTTTTCACTTACCCTGCCTGAGATCTGCTGAATGTTTGGACAATCGTTATTCAAAGATTCACTGCAGCTGTGATTAAGCAAAGCCACTAATTGAAGCACAAACCTGCAAAAAGGCAACTGAGAAAATGTGGATTCTGTTGATCGGCATGCTCCTAGGCAAATCCTACTGAAAGTAAAAAAAAATCCCAGGGACCATTCATCAAATAGAAGAGTTTTCACTAGAAGCAAATTTGCATAGCATTGCTAATAACACTTTTCTAAACAGCCAGAGCCATCTTGACCAGCGTGCTGAGTGAAAACAAAGCCAGGAAGACAGACAGACAGGAGTGAGTCAATCAAAATAAATAAATAAATACGTCTTAATTTACAAAAAAAAAAAAAAAAAAAAAAAAAAAATCCCACAACACCTGAATAAAAAACCTTTGGGGCTTGCTGTTTTTGTATTATGATTTTCTTTAATAAATACATCTTAATTTAAAAAAAAAAAAAAAATCACAAATAATTCCGATCTCATGAAGAAATGTTTTTAACAAGCCACATGTGCTTGCGCAGACACTTCTAATCTCATTAGGTTTTTCTGGCTGCTATTAGTGTTCTCTGAGCCAGCTGATTTCTCAGCAATATTTTAAAGAGTGCAAGCCTTTGCCCTCCAGTCTAGCCGTTGTTAAAACAGCCTGTTCCAGGGGAAGACTTGGGAGTTCATGGATTTTCTTCCAAGGTTTTGGAAAGTTCAGGACAAATTGACCATTGCATGCAAAACAATAGTCAACCACAAACTATCTTCACAGTCAACGAGCGACATTCTGCTCCCAGCTGGGTTAGTGTGAAAAACGGAATAATCCCACCAAAGCAACAAGATAGCTTCAGATTGTCATCGGTGTCACACGGCAGAGGATGGCTCTCCATGTGGTCTCCTGTCCTCCAGCTCTCTGGCTGCAAAGGAGCCTGCTGCGAGGTGCCCCTCTGTCACAGCTCGCCAGATTGGGGTTCCCCTCAAACCAGTGCAGCTCAAGCAGCTCTGATCAGAAGGGGAGCCACATCGGGTTACAGCTCAGCTTTATTTTATCTTTGAAAACAAGGATAAATCCCTCCCCAAACTGGAGATGGAGAGCCATGTGCACTGTTGTACATATTGGGGCACGTGATTTTCATGCAAAGGAGCTGTCATTCTGAATTTGCCAAAGTAACGTGCAAATGATCACTAGCATAAAGCAGATTGTGGCAGGCAGATGCTGCAGATAGAACAAAATAATCGGTTTTAGAAAACAATCTTAATTCAGAACTGTGTAACCTGGAAGAGTAAACCCTGGATGAGCGGGACTAAGGCGTCATGCATGGATTTCTGATAGAATACTCCCTGAATTTCTGGCTGGAAATGTGCCTCAGTTTTAGCCTGCCCTCTTTCAGGGTCTCAGAGCAAACTTCTCCTGGGGTGAGATGATGAGTGCTTGGAAGTGACCCACCTGGAGCCCAACACGAAGAAAGCGCATCCCCTGCCTGGAATTCGTGTGCAGTGACAGCTTTCTCCTGCCTATCCAAGTTTCCCAAGACAGCAAACATAAAGGAACTGGCAACCATAGAGTCAAGAAGACAATATCCTAAGTGGTTGGGTTTGCTGTGCCAGTTCCACCTCTGGTCACCAGAATCAATATGCTGCCCCCGTTACTGCTGTGTCTGTGTGTCTCTACCAACCCACAGATCCACTGGGCATTTTGGCACCAGCCCCGCTCTTCCAAGGGCTGTCTGCTCAATTGTTCATTCACTCTCTTGTGCTTCAAACATTCGGATCCAACAGCATCATGCAAATTTTATGCAAAGTAGCATCTGCAAGTCTGACATATTCACTCAGGCTTCCCCCTCTTGCGCCAAGTTAAAAATAAATACCTCATAGACTCCTGGGCCTGCTAAGACAGAATAAGCATTCAGAGAGTTTTTTAAATATAACTGCTAAAACCATTTCTCCTTTAGGGTCAAACTCCTTTTTTTCTCCTCTCTCTCTCATATTTTGCCCTGCCTCAAGGACCTCAACAGTACTGGAGGGAAAAGCATCCTTGAAATAACCTAGAGAAGAATAAGTTCTGTGTGTTCCTAACTCTCTTACTTGAAATTTCAGCTAAGTTTCTATTTTTAAAGCTCCAAAGAATACAGGTGATGCTATACCACCAACATGAAACAAGGAATTAATTAAGTGGACTCATTTCCAATACTGATTGTGAATAATACTAGTTGAGCCAGATCTTACGTTGGGGTTTCAAAGGGTCTCCACCCCCTGCACTAGAGCTGCCTCCTCTTTTCTCCAGGGAGAAGCAGATTTGTCCCTGAAAGATACACGTGAACAGCTGAAGTCCTAGGGATGCCAACCAGATAGCGTAATGATAAAGTATGTCTTAAGGCAACAAGGAGAAGAGTCTGTAAAAAGGGGATACTGAGCCACCGCTGAGGTCAGTTAGGACTTGCTGAGCCGCTTGGCCACGTCTGCGTAGGCTTCCTCGATCTCTTTGTCTGCTGCACAGGTGTTGGTGAACTCATCCCTGGCGTAGGCGTTCTTCAGGTACCGCCACAGCCCCGTCATCTCTGTCGGGAACTCGAAGTTGCGGTATTTCTTTGCAACGATCTAAACCAAAGATAAAAGAGGAAAAAAAGCATCTTGTTAGTGACATATCTCCAGATTCCTTTTTAGAGAGCTTCTTACTCTTTCTTGTCATATAAATAGTAGCAAAGGACAGAAATGTTTGGACATTCAGGGATTTATGATAGAAAAGCCTGAAAAGTGACCGTTGGTTGTGCCCTGTCTTACAAGGGTGCTACTTGGCCCAAGGACACTCTAAATCAATGGCCTGGCTACTGTCACCAAATTATGACTTTTCTGGTACCTGAAGTTCATTAATTTTACCATGTTGGGTTTTGGTTGCTTTTACCAGTCTAAAGTACATCTCTTAAAGCTGAGATGGCACATAGGAGCGAGCTGATTAGCTGAATCATAAAAAGCAAGATAAATTTAAGAGAAAGGCATTTGTAACAACTATAAATAAAATATTTTCTTATTAATGGTTTAATATATTTTAATACATATTTAAATATTTAACATTCTATTATATTTTACATATACTCTATTTCTCTTTTTCGTGTATTTTCCCTGGCCAATGGTGTCAGAGAATGTAACCACCTACAGCTGTTGGAAAGCTGTATCCGTGTTCATGCAAAGGCAAAATTCAGGGTGGTATGGGCACCATGATTGAGAAACCAAGATGATTTAGCAGACATTAGAAACAGGAGTATTAGAATAAATGGGGGGGGGGGGGGGGGGGGAGGCTTGTTAGACTAGGAAATTGTCTATCAAGGGAAATTTTCAAAGTCTAAAAACACTTAGACCCTTATTGAGGAAAATAGCTAAGTGCATACTTAATTTTAAGCACCTGTATAGTTCCATTGAAGTCAATGGGACTAATCTGTGCTTAAAGTTAGTGGGTCGGTTAAGTAGCTTGCTGGATTGGGATATTTCAGTTTTTCTGTAAGAATATACCATATAGAATAATCCTGTGGTGACAGAATGAACTAGCTGATAGGAAGGGATGGATTAGCTGATTTAATGAGTGCTTCCAATCTCTAATTTTTCTGACAGTATAAAATTGTCCCTGGGCATAAATTACATACATATGTGCCACAAAGTTCCCCTTTATTTTTAAAGCACATGGTAGAGCTGTTTTCCATCTCAAATTTCTTAGGACAGTCGTGTTCTCAGAAATGACTGTGATTTGTTTTTATTGCCAGGATCCACTTGGTATATGCAAGTCCAAATCCTGTCCTAAACTGCATTTAATTAAGCATTCTTGCCTTCAGTGATGCTTCACACACACATGGGGAAGATAAAACCTGCTGGGCAACTTAAGTCAAGATTTTCACAATTTTCAGCACACATCTTCCATCAAACCAAAAAGTTTGAATAATTTACCCTTTTCTTCCATCTGTAAAATGCTTTTCAGGCAATATCCTATGGCTATGATTGTCTGAGAAAAATTTTCATTCTCTTTTGACATCTTTCATTCCATCCCAAGGAGACAGGAACCAGTAAGGGGCCACACATTCATTTTGCATTGTCTGACTCTGATGTCACCAATGAAGACGAGCCAAAAAAAGAGTTAGACTTGTGAGGATATTATCACATTTCTTACCTGGTGACATATGCACTTTTTTTTTTTTACTGATGTCACCAATGAAGACGAGCCAAAAAAAGAGTTAGACTTGTGAGGATATTATCACATTTCTTACCTGGTGACATATGCACTTTTTTTTTTTTTACTTTTTTTTTTTCTATTTTTTGCATGTGTGCAGTCAGCTTCCAGGCTCAGCTTATGTTTTGGCTCATGGAGCCAAATTAGATGCATGACTTGGCCTTAATTCCTAGATTTCTTGCTTGCCAAGGTCTGCCAGGTACTTGCTTTCTTCTAAAGAAACATGTAATCTGATAAATTATATAAATGCAACATTTAGAAGTCAAGATGATGTACACCATTTGCACTATACCAGCGACCATTGTACATCTTAAATCCTGGACCTTGGCAGTGACTTTGATTTGTTAACTTCTCTGTGTGAAATACCAGCTGGAACAAATATTCCCCAAAAAGACAGACTGCAGCTCTTAAGTTACAAATGAGTGGGAACTGACTAAAGTTTTGACATCTCTCTTAAGAATAATGGAAACTAATTAAAATGAAGTATGCTGCCACTTGCAGTAGGGTAAAAATAAAGAGATGTGATACTTAGATCTTAATATTGTCTTTGTCGCTAATTAGAGACGGGACAATTTACCCACATACTAAACACAAAGTTGCTTAAGTTAACCTATAGGAAATACTGAGGAGAAAATGTGTTTCAAACTCTGCTCTTCTAGGACTTGAGATGCCTCTGATGAAGTACATGTTGGTTTTAGCTCATGGCTGTCAGAGCAGGGCACTTCACTGTCATATTTGACCAACCTGGTCTAGTGGGAGGTGTCCCTGCCCATGGCAGGTGGGTTGGAACTTGATGATCTTTAAGGTCCCAACCTAATGGCTTCCAACCCAAGCTATTCTATGATTCTAAGAATCTTTGACCATTGCATGACACCTTTTACCTTGACAACATGGAGTTTGGGCAGAAGGTTGCAGTCAGCAAGAGTCAGGTCATCTCCATCCAGAAACTTGCGTTTAGATACTTTCTCCTCTTCAATGCTGTCTGCATCAATCTCCTCTGGCAGAGGGGATCTTTGATCATTGCATGACACCTTTTACCTTGACAACATGGAGTTTGGGCAGAGAATCTTTGACCATTGCATGACACCTTTTACCTTGACAACATGGAGTTTGGGCAGAAGGTTGCAGTCAGCAAGAGTCAGGTCATCTCCATCCAGAAACTTGCGTTTAGATACTTTCTCCTCTTCAATGCTGTCTGCATCAATCTCCTCTGGCAGAGGGGTCCTCAGGTAGTCATCCAGCTTCTTCAGAGCCTTCACCAAGCCTTTTTCAAGGGCTTTGCCAAAAAGCAATGAATATGTGATTAGGGCAGAGTAATAATTACTTAGAAACACTCATTCTCAATGGCTATGGTAGCATCTAGAAAAAAATAGACAAGAATCTTTTCTTTGTTGTTAATTTGTGCTTCAACGTCTACACAATCTGATGACAAAGTAGCCCAGTGACGCCTGCCTGAGGGTAAAGCTCATCCTGCCATGGGAAAAGTGGACACAAGAAGCTGTTGTGCCATGTTTTCTCCTGACTAGCAAAAAAACCATCAACAAAGCAGTGATAGAGATCATGGAAGCAAAGAACAGCTTGTCAGTATGACATGTCAATCAAATACATTCACCCTATGTTATTTTTCTGGTCTGTTGAGGCCATCACACAGTAAATTGGAGCCCTGTACACTGCTACTAAGCAGCCAGGTAGGACTGTAATGAAGAGGAATTTTCTATCATCACTTCAGCTCTAAAAAGTGGTAGGTTTACTACTTTTAAACCCCTTCCAGAGTAATTAAAGGCAATAGCCATAATTCCAGAGATGCTAAGCAGAGCTCAACAGAGCTGGAAGATGCACTGAAATGGAAATGAAGTAATATAACAATAATTAAATACACGACTACACAAAAGAGATATTTAGCCACTCTTAAGATGCCACTCACTTCAGGTTCAGCTTGGGTGCAAATTCTCTTTTTGATATGTTTTAAATCAGGTATCACATTGGAGAAGAGACCTTGGACCTCTCACTTCAATTATAAAACACCATGTCCCACAGTGATGCTGGCTCCAACAAATTCGAGGCTTAAAATGCCACTTAGACATAATATTGGAGCAGCAGAGTGTATTTTTTTTTGTACTTAAAAATGTCAACCTAAGCACAGAATTTGTGTTCTTTTGCTTTACCAGCAGGATAATAGGAAAACTTGATTGTAATAATGCACTTAGAGAAAGCTGAATGACTGTACGCAGGTTGGCATGTTATTTAAACTGCAAAGACTCTTGGGCAAGAAGGATCTGTTGCATCTCTGCTCGAAGGGTGACAACCACGATGGGGTCCTGGCCCCTGACAAGCGCCCCAAAGTGCTAAGGCAATATAAATAAGAAACAGCAAGAATTTACAATGTGAAAAAATAACAACATGACTCACGGGCTTAGGGCCAGAATTTCAGCTGGTGAAAATTACCTGCGGTGATTTATACCTGCTGCAGATCTGGCCTGGAGTCAGCATTTAAGGCCTAATCCTGTAAAATCTTATATCTCTGAGTAACTTACTGCCGTTTAACTTAGGGGAGACGACTCAGTGAGTCAAGTTACCCAGGCGGTGTAGCACTGCGAGGCCTATGGAGATAAATATATTTATGGAGCACAACGTGGGCTTCAAAAGGCTGCAGCGATCGCCCCGTGTCGAGCAGCTTGCTGGCACAGGTAGCTCTGCTGGCTCTGCTGTCAGCCTCCCCTGTGTTTTTGGCATGGAGAGAAAGGCGGCGCGTACGGGGCCATTGAGAGAGCAGGAGCCGAACACCACAGAACATGATTTCTCTGCTGCCCTAACATCCATTAAACCTTCTGCCAGTGGTGGAAGTCAAATTAAGCTGCCTGATGTCTTGCTCCCACCGAAGCCTCTTGGCCGTGCACCAGGGAACCATACCAGCTCTTTTGTGGCTGACTCTTAGACACAGTGGCAAATCCTGGCTTAATTGATTGACTGGGGAAATGACTGCGATCCAACTGAAAACACCCCAACAAACATAGCAGGGAGGGAAAGAATTTTATTTCTGAAAGCAGAGCATCTAAAGCGACTGAAGTGCTGCCATCCATAAAACAAAAGTGTTGCCATCCCTTATTTAATCAATTCAAATTGAATTTTGACACTGACGTTCTGCTGTCAGATGCTGGCAGTGGTGTCTGTAATCGTCTCCAGCTGTGCCCCGCCGCACAACTTCTGCTGAAGGGTAATAACTGTATAGCATGTAATATACCCCCATGTGGCAACACTCAGAAGATTTAGCAATCTCTTTTTGGTTTGACCCATAACACCTGTTGAATAGATAGTCCTCCTCCTCTTGGTCAGCCTCAGACTATGTCCTCTTACAATGAATTCATTTAGAGACAATGGAGTCGAATTACTGTGAGTCAATTTAATTTTGCACATTCAGATTTTAGAGAACTGGCTTAATGTTGAGCATTTTCCAGTATCCCCTTCACCCAGTAGGATTGTTGGTTCTCTGAGTCATCTGTGCGATATTTCCAGTATCAGTACTACATCAGATGCTTCGTGTGAGCCGGTGGGGTCGGTTATTTGTGTGTGAAGACATGAGCATCAGGTGGGATGTGTTTATGTAACTTTTCTGGAACTTATTAGGGTTGGGGTTTTTTTTTCACTCTTACTGATATATCAAAGTGCGTCATGGCTGCCTCAAAAACAATGCCTGGAGTGAAGCCTATTTGTGACAGTGGGAAAAACATCTATCTGAATTCATACTTGGCACTTGCACATGGCAGCTTTGGGCCAGAAATCAGCGTTATGTTCAGGGTTCCACGCATCTGTGACCCAATTCACAGGCTCTGCTGAAACCCACAGGATCCTGATGTCTCAAAGTAAAATCACCACATGGTCAGGACCATCTCATATCCTGATAGTGAAGAACTGGACCACTACTTGTGACTCCAATGACCCCATTTAATCAAAACTCTCCTGATCCTGGTAAATCTCTGAGAAAAGCTATGAAAATAGAAGAATAATGAACAAGGGAGAACTGCCTTTCTTTTGAGTAGTGATGTAATTTTGAAAAGCTAAGAGAATTAAGATCCTAAAATTGCCATTTCAAATGGTGTGTAGGTATATAGGATTGGACTTTTAAAGCCTGTTGATGGTTTCCAAGGCATTTTTTGAAAATATTTTTTGAAATATGCAAATATCCATGTTGCAAATCCTACTTTCTAGGTGTCCTGACACATTCAGATTTGTCTATATGAAGTCTTATGTTTCTTGAGAAGGTCCTCAGGGAAATCCCCACTCAAAGTAGGAGGATGCATAAAAGATTCTCAAAAATATTGAAACAAGAGCCTTCTAGCCCCCACATCTAAGAGAGAGTCTAATGGTGGTATGGGTGGGAGAACCCAATTTATATTTGAACTCACCGGTGAACCCTCAGAAGAGAGAGGTATCAAAAGTGGGTCAGATTTTCATTTCTTACAAAAAATTTTGAAAGAAGTGCTGTGATTTTACCAGTGGTATAGGGAGAGCATTCTCTTGGAAAGTGAAAGACTGAGTTTCAAATGCCTTTTCAATGTGATGTCAGCCCAGATCTGGCAGATGAGACCCCACGTGTGGAGTATCAGGTAATTTGTACAGCTCTCCTGTAGAGCTCTTTCACTTCCCATAAATGACTCAACATTCACTGGATCACAACTGCAGGCCAACACCACAGGTAAAAGTCAAAAAAGCTAATTCTCTCATTTTTTGTCTTATCTGGTTGATACTTGAACATTATGTGCGAGGTGAAAAAACATGAACAGAGACCGAGAAATAACCTCCTCAGAATACCCTACAGCTCTGAAGGTTTTGGGACTCTTGCTAAGGAAAGAGCTGTCTGGGGTCATATTACTGAGAAAACCCAGCAGAAGAAAGATTTAATTCTGAACCTTCCATACTATGGTTATTCTGTGAAAATTTGGACGACTTTATATATTGTCTCCACTGAGAAGATACGGGACAGTGGGGACTCACCAGGGATGGGGTCTTGTGAATACCAGTCACAGCACTAGACTGAACGAAGACATTTTAAAAGATGTGACTAACTAAAAAGTGACTAATTCCCCATTTGTGAACGTACTACCCACAATGAATTTCAGAAGTGGCTAAGTAGCTAATTCCCTTGGCAACTTTTCCCCTTGGAAACATCATTAAATAACTAAGCACATTTGCTGATAGCAGCTGAGGCTCCACTGCAAGTCAATGAGTGGGATTAATCCTCCCTGAAGTGAGTAAAATAAGTGACTAGGTTTGAATTAAACACCCTGAGTTTCCTCTGTGGTCAGAGGAGTCCTCTCTTTTACACGTGGTTTAGATGACTCCTAAATCAGCTGTGCGGAGAACTTTTCCCAAAGTGTCTAATCTCAGCCTTGCATTGTCTTGGTAATGTCAGGGTGGAGAATTCAATATTACAACACCAAGTGGAACCATGCCTGAGAATGCGGCTCTGTTCTGTTTTTGAAATTTCTACCTCTGATTGCTTCCCCACCCTGCAGACTTTCAGCATGAACTTAGAGATCCCAAATGTGACCAGCTCTGTGAGAGGAGCCCTGTCACCAGGTTACCCATCCTAACTCCTGGAAACCATCCTTCTGGACAGCACAAAGGCATCATATAAATATTGGCTCCACAGCGATGTCTTTAATATAATTTCAAATTCCGAGAAGTCCTACCTGTGTATATATACAAAATCCATGGTGAAACCATCTCTCTCACCCTTCACTACTCCTCTCTGGGCTACTTACGCAGCCAAAGAGAACTTATAGCAATCACAGTCCTGCTGTGTCATCCCACCAATAGTAAACAACGATATTAATAGAAAATCCGAGCAAGCTGTTTGTGATTTTCCTTCTTCCTTCAAAACTATGCTTTTATAGAACTTTACTTAAGAATCCTGAGTTAGAAGCCAGAAAAATAGCACTTTCCAACCTCAAAGCAACCACAGAACACTTAATGAATGTATTACCATCTGTCAAATGTACAGGGTGAGGTTCAATTTAGCTGATGATACCTAATTCACAATGACGCTCTGTTTTCAGCAAAAGGTTACTTGATGTTGAAGACTGAGATTAACAAATCCTGACATGCACAGAAATACAAATAATGTAACAAAAGTTAATAATTGGCAAAATTGTGCTCTCGGTTACACTGACATAAAAGAAGAGTAACTCCACATTGTCAACAAGCTATTCCATATTCAGTCCAGTTCAACCAAGAACAGACTTTGGCTCTGTTATTCAACTCTCCAAGCAAGAACTT